AGTCTCATATTGTTGACCCATCTTATAAAACAAATAATACATGTTTGCGAGTCAGGCGAGCCGGAAGCATTTTGGGATGGGGGGGGGGGGGCAAACAGAGGGCTCAACCTTTCATCAGCAGTGGCGTAATGAGCAAAAACGTTAGGGGGCAGAAGAAATATCTTCATCATCACTACATGTTACATACCCGGAGGGGAGGGGGGGGGGGGGGGGGGGGGTACTCACATATTAGGACATACGGGGTTGTGCTACTCTTATGGGTCTCTTCACCCAAAAAATCCCTAAACATGGGCTTATTTTTAACAAAAAAAAAAAATTAAAAACGGATCATTTTTTTCAAAATTTTCCCCCCAAAAAAAGAAATTCGCGAAAAATGTTTTTAAATGGGCTTTACTTCGAGAACCCCCCCCCCCCCAAAAAAAAAAGAATACCCCCGTCCAAACCAATTCCGAAGCACCCGGAAGCTCGGGGTTTCAGGCATTTAATTACGGTCCAGATTATCATAATTTGATACCTTATTTGTGACATTGGCAGAGGGGTAAGAGCACTTTTTACCCCCTTAATTCGTGAGAAATTTGTTAGCAGCGAATCATCCAGCCGGTGAATAAGAGGGGGGGGGGGGGGGGGAGGATGAACACTATTTTTTTCTAGAGCGAAGCTTCTTCTTTTTTTGCCATCCGCGCCTGTATTTCCTCCACCATCGGCCAATCCCATACTCATCAAAGGACTAAACCTGAAGTGGCCGGAGTGGAAATGCCTGAATCGAATGCGGACGAGATTGGGACGGTGTAAGGCCAACATGGCAAGTTGGGGCTATGGCCATGAAGAAGATGCTCTCTGCGATTGCGGAGAGACTCGGACCACTTCTTGCATTGTGGCGGAACGAGTTGCACAGTTGAAGACCTGGCTCTTGTAAATGAGAGACGCCATCGCAGTCATCGGGCAATGGAAGAACTAAGAAGACACGAACGACGAACCGTATACCTTTATATTTGTTGGTCCTCTTACGTTTGTGTTTTGTTATCGTATTTGTTATCATTAATTATCAATCAAATTTCTCAGAACATTTAGTCTCTTTATTAAACATGGGCCATTTTTATATTTTCAGTGCCCAAATGATTTATCATTCTCGCCTCGTCTTCATCACATTTTCATATTGTGCCCTCTCCCCCCCCCCCCCTCCCCGGAACATATTTTGTTCAATGCAGTTCCCCTTCCATATTGAAATTTTCATAAAAGGGGCACAGGTTGTATAAACCTACATTGGTTAACTTCAATTTCCTCGTCGAAATTCCCCATTGATCTTCATAATTCTTTTCATTTAATATCTTTTAATGAGAATGTACATATACATAGCAAAGTTCAAGGTACAGGATTCAATCATAAATGTGGAGATAAATGATGTCTAGATGTACCTCGAACTTTGCTTTGTATATGTACATTCGCAAAGCAAAGTTAAAGGTACAGGATTCAATCATAAATGCGGGGATAAATGATGTATAGATATACCTCGAACTTTGCTTTGTAAATGTGCATTCGCAAAGCTAAGTTCAAGGTATATATATACAAAGCAAAGTTTAAGGTACACCTAGACATCATAAATACGGGGATAAATGCTGTTTATTGTCATAGTGTCATAGTCATAGTGATCCATCCAGGTCCAGATTAGTGTTATATCTATAATAGTTTTGGCTCTAGACTATACACGAATCCGACCGACTGCCTATACGAAAGGACGCCCTCTTACATCGTCGCCATAGTTGGGGGTGGGGTGGGGGGGGGGGGGGGGGGGGGGCGGGGGGGGGGGGGGGGGGCTTTCAGGCCGTGAAGCTAGCATGCACACATTAATACCATTCATATACTTTGGCGTACGTGTCCACATATCTGTGATTTATCATTTTAAAAAGCGATTCTGAAAAGGAGGTTTTGAGAATGACGATAAAAGAGTTATTTCATCAACGGATTTGCTATTGAACTTTATTTAAGCCAATCGTTACATATATTGTTCATTGGAATAGGGGATAGCTTTGGACCCCTGTGAAGCACAATTTGTAAATTGGGGCCATGTCTAGTTGCCTTTTGCTTAGCGGTTTACAGGTGCTGGAAGTGGGATTGCAGTTGCAAGCTAGTATGGCCATCGATATGGGTCGAAATGGGCAGTCAAAAATGGGGAAGTATTGGATTTGTTTTAATCCCTAGGCTTAGAATGTGTAGCCACCGCTGAGATGAACACCGCAGCGATGGAATTCCGACAATAATATTTTCGGTTAAAATGCTCCTATTACCCTCCGAAATGAGTAAGCCTGTGATGGTCGGCGGAATTCCCGTAATGATATACCCTGAAAAATGCTCTCGCATCAGTCAGAACATTAGAATTGGAGATTAATTATACCCGACATATTTTTGGTTTGGGCGAGTGCGTTTGTGGATGGAAGGGGAAGGGGGAGTGAAATTGATGTGATTCAATTCACTAAACCCCATGAGCATACGGGGGCTCCGCCCCTGAACCCCACCAAGGGCCCTAAGGCTGGCTTCTGAATGTTCATTTGACCGTTATTTAATACCTAAAACCCTGAGCTCTGCCCCCTGGATCCCACCAAGGGCCCTAAGGCTGGCCTCTGGATGCTTATCTGACTGTGATGAAATACCTTTGAGTTTCCGGGGGCTCCGTGCCCCCCTCCCCCCTGGCCAAAAAAGGTAAAAATCGCCGCTAAATTTTTTCTCACGAATTGGGGAGAAAAACAAATAATGCTCCTTACCTCCGAACCCCCCGAACCCCCCCCCCCAACAACAACAACAACAACAACAAATGGTCAGCCACGATTTGTTAGGAACCGGAACAAAAGAACACCGAGTTCCAATAGGAAATCTATTTTTTTCTTCAGATGGTCATATCTCAGCCAATATTCAACATATTCAATTGATTTCCGACATTTGTACATCATTTTTAATGCTCTGTCGGAAAATAAAGTTAAAATTGAGGAATTCTCAAAATCGTTTTTTGATGACGTCACACTTCACCACTCTATTCACAAAGGAGTAGGGTGAGTCACACTTAATTATGTACAATGATGACTGATATGTCAAAAGATGAGAGCAGAAAAGAAAGCCCCTGCAAATACAAAACAGAGAAAAACAATGTATCATATGAAAATGATCATTGATTATAAATTATACATCTTCATCATCATCTGTTATCTGACTCGTACAACACATTATACTTTTTGTTATAAACACGTTTAAAAGTACAAGTATTAACATGTTAAAAACAGCCGTACAAACACACGACTCTTCTATCACTTTTTGTTAATGTAACGAGTCAAGCAATAAGGACTCAGGATTCAATTTCAATGTTTCCATTTGGTTCCATTTTTATTGGTTCAGACTTACACAGCTATTTTCTGTCTCTCAATATCCATGAACTGTAGGTCCTGCAAGGGACACACCCACTCCAACATGGATATAAGCATCTCCTTTCTCGGAGCCCACCAAAACATGTGTCTCTCTATCAACATGACCAGCATACCTTCTCTGCATGCACATCCATGGGCTTGCAACGAACACTCACGTTCACGTTCACGTGATCACGTATCACGTTTTGCGCCGTTTCGTAAAATAGGTGACTCTAATTTACGAAGTGTAGGGTCTACCATTCGTTGTTTTCCACGCCGGTAAAACACGAATGATCACGTCTTCCAAAACGTGACGTGAGTGTTTAATCAATATTTTTATAATTGCAAGCGCTTGTTACTAAGACTAGTCATGACGTCACCGTAATATGTATGATTTGTGTGTACGAGTATACGTATCGCCTGCGCCTAGCTAGCTGACAACAAAGTCGGAGAATGGGTGAGTAATTGATTGCAATATGAGTGAATTTAGTGAATTTAGTGATTAATTTTGAAAAATTTGTTATAGTTTTCGTGATCTTCGGTAATTTCTTTTCATTTTGAGACTGTTCTCAACAGATATTTGGGGAAAAGGCTAGGGAAATATTTCTCTTCAAATTGCACTTTGATTTTCATCGTCGTGAAGTAGTTTGACTGCGGTTTGCCGTCATGTCACCCAGTTAGGGCCCGGGTTCCGGCAGGCCCATCCCGTGGAATTGCGGTGCTCATCTGCAAATTTGATCGTCATCATGTATCTAATTCATCAATTTATTGATTGAATTTAAATCTAGATTTAACTTACCTTGAAATAATCTATGAAGTATGATTTCTTTAATAATCCAAGTGGGTTAATTCTTGTTAAAATCTTTAGTAGACCCTTCTTCTAGACGTGGACTCTGTTGAGGTACTCAATACCCCCCCCCCCCCCCCCCCCCCCCTGAGCAAAATATTGGCCGGCACGATTTTCAAATTCAGCACACTACATTTCAAATTTGCAATTAGACTATACACGCAATGGCCCAACGTATAAATTTACTCTTACTCATGTATTATACATTTGTTTCTATATTTTTTATATTGTTTGCATACCTTATATTTTATATAATTATCCATATTTGTTGAATAACTGATTTGTTTGATTGCAGAAAATAAAGTCTTTGAAATGAAATGAAATGAAAAATTGGTGGTGTCAACTTCAGACCAGAATTATCTGTGACCATGAATAATCAAACAACTCCAAACCCTATTTTATTTAGGCCTAGATCTAGATGTAAACCTGGAACTTATTAATAAAAATATTCAAAAAACAACAACTAGATTTGTTTATTTAATGTTTAGATTTTGTGTGGGTCCAGCATGCTTGTCTAGTTGTCATAACTCATATTCATAAGGAGTCTAAATTAAAGATTTGTTTCCAAATTGTGCAGTTCATGTTGATAAATATATTTTTGTTGGACGTTGTATAAGAAATGACCCCTAGTCCACAATTATGTTTACTTATCTGTAGTCCACCTCTTCTTGTTATAATAAACTAATTCTACTTAGTACTTCTTCGTGCTCATAGGCCATAGAAAGCACTGTGTGAGGTACACGTTAAATGTTCCATTAGTTTTACTTTGTACTGTGGTTCATTAAATAGGAATGTTGATTTCCACACCATGTTAAATTTAAGGCCAACCATGACATAAAAAATAGCTATTATGCTTGATCTATTTTATTGTTAAGGAGAAAGGGATGCCTTGATTATTGTATTGGTTTTTTCCTTCTTTTTGTTCCAACAGATTGAAATTAAAGAGCTGAAAGAAGTTAACAACATGAAGCAGAAAGTCCCATGCAGGTAAAATTACCAGGTTATTTAGCACACAAATATTAAACGATCACCTACATGTATTAATTCACTAACAAAGTAAATGGAACTAAGTTGACGTTGCAATTATAGCGCTTAGAGACTTCGGTGGTGAGCGCTTTATAAGTAACATTTTTATTATTATTATTATTATTATTATTAGCGTATATAGTGGAGGGTATATTTTATTCTAGTTCTGCACCTAGCATACAATCTCAATTTCAATTTCAAATTTATTCACATTTCAAACAAAACATTACAAATAATTATAAGCATTTAAAACAAATTTAAGAAATACATGTTGGAAACAGAGGGGTCCACTAAAAAGCAATGCTTGTACAAGTGTGAACACCTCAAATGAAACTTAGGAATAATGAGTAATTAAATTTACTATTCTGTAATGACAAAAGGAACTACAAAATAGGGAAAGAAAAATGGGGATGCCAACAGAGACGAGAAAGGGACAAGACAATACTTTACACGACAAAGATAGAAGAACATGGTCATAATTATACAAAGAGTAGACAATGACAAAAAGAAGTGAGAGATCGAGGGTACAGAAAAAATACTAAATGATGAGCTGCATGTGGGGTTGAGAAGAAGATAAGGAAAGAGAAATATTGATGTCTTTAATTTTTTTGGTTTACAAAGGAAAATGTGTCCTTATTTAAAGGAGGTCCTGTGTGCCCGCCCCCCCCCCCCACTCAGTGTTATTTGGGGTATGCGTATGCGTGTTCCCTCCTTTTGAAAACACCCCCTAAGTCTGGTGTGTAAAGTCAATACGGGCCAGATTTTTGTGTGCTATGAGCCAGACTTTGTGAAAACTACCCCTTTACTGGACATTTTGGGAATACGCATGCGGTCCTGCCGACCCCTGAGGGGGGGGGGGGGGGGGGGGGGGGGGACCGGGCCTGTGTGTAGAAGAGCCATATCTAATCCACATCCAAAGCACTACATGTAGGGTATACACAGGACCCCTCATTACTTTTTTTTTTACTTCTTGAGCAATGAAGATGAAGAAGAACACAAAATAAGATGAAAGTCTGTTTATAGGATGTATTATGGTTGATATGTATCCATTAGTATCAGTTTTAAATTGAAGTACCTACTTTGTTTTCTGTCATGTAGGATGATGCTTCTCTACAGTGGGTGATGAAGGCATGCTGGTTTACAAACTCAGGAGAGGAACAAAGAAGAGATATTGATGGGATCATATCTAGAGATGCGGGCCTACTACACTTCATACGAGCAAGTGTGCTAATATACATGTAGGTACCCCAATAAACTTTTGTGGAACACATGTCATGCAGAAAATTATAGATCTGACGAATAATTGACTGAATATCACAATTGTGATTTAGATTAAAAATTAAATGTCAATATAGATGAAATATAAGTCTACGTTACGTGTGTTTCAGTAGCATTATTTCCAGTATATTCTCTGGTCCAAGTTGTTTGGTCATTTTATGTCCCATACTTAAAGGTAATACACAGTTTTAGTATGGGGTCATAAATTTGGTTCAAATGAACATATTGGACGCATATGAGATCCTACAATATTCTGTGATCGTTGTCGCGTTTGTAATCGAGTCTAAAATTATGAAATTGTAAATAATAAACTCTTTATGTTGTATAGCTCCCTCTCAAGGTCAAGATATAAATTTTTCTTGACTAAAATCGACCAATTTGCTATTCTCGTTTGGAAGTTATATATCACATCTACATATTCTGAGATTTTCATGGTCGCAGCTACCATTTGAAATTTATCAAAATTTACCGGAGCACCAGTAAATATTTATATTCAATTTTTCTCGAAAGCAGAAGTGTTTTAGAGGCTAAGTTTTCTAGTGCTTATAATACATCCACAGGGGCATTCAAATATATCAAAATTGTAAAGAATCACTATCCACCCAATTTTCAAAATTTCGTAAAACTTTGTATTACCTTTAACCGAATATTATTCAATAATGAGCACGAGTTTACATCACAAGTACATTGTATTACTTATTTCATACATTGTCTGAACCAAACTTCAGCAGTCCTATCGTCTCAATGGGATCATCAGAAATAATCTAAAATGTGGTCAGAAACTAGTCTTGTACGAAAAATAGTTTCGGTTTGCCCAATAGAACCCCAAGTGAATTTCAATCCTTCCTTTTTCTGAGCAGGTATCAGGGTGTGTGTTATTAGTCGTCATTGATTTTCTTATATCTTATTTCATTTTTCCATTCAACAGACTTGGGTTATCACTACAGCCCTTTCTTCTGAAAACTAGGCTACAACTTTAGTGATGAATGCAGAAGACATATAGGTGGTCATCTGATCAACCGGAGTCAAAATGTAAGGTTTCTTGGAGTTACAGTTGATGATCATTTAACTTGAAAGATCACCTCAGCAATGTTTGTACCAAGGTCTCGAGGAGTGTTGGTGTGATTTTTTAAGTTACGCTTTTTTTTACCAGAGCAAACTTTAGTAACTCTTTATAATGCTATCATTATGCCTCACTTAACTTATTGTAATGTTGCATGGGGAAATACGTATAGGAGCCATATAAACAAGTTAATAGTCCTTCAGAAGAAAGCTATCAGGCTCATTACAAATTCAAATTACAGAAGTCCAAGTAATCCTTTATTTGTGCAACTTCAGATGTTGCCTCTAGATGAATTAGTCTCCATGCATTGTTTGATATTCATGTACAAATCTCAATCTGCTCAAAATAATTCATTTTTAAAAGATGCGTTTATTGTTAATTCGACTGTCCATTCGTACAACACACGTCAGAGAAATCTTATCCATCAGCCGTTTGCGAGAACACAAACTGCTTCGAACTCTTTTGTAATTAATTGTATCAAAGATTGGAATAAGTTGCCACAAAACATCAGATCCAGTCCAACACTACCTATGTTTAAACATACATGTCGAGAATATCTTTTTGAGAGATTACAAAATATGTTAAAGTAAATCCTGGAAAGCCATGTGTGTATGTGTGTATGTGGGTGTGTCTGTGTGTGTGTGCGTGGGTGTGTATGTGTTGTGTGTTATCTTTTTTTCTGTTCCCATATTTACTCATTAGTTATCATTGTAAATATGTTTTTGTCATCGGTTATTCTAAATACTGTTATTTTGTTTTTGTTTATGTACCTTTTAAGGGGCCCCTTATCACAAGCTCTGCTTCTCCGGGGTCCCAAACCTATCATGTTTTTTTTTTTTTCTTTTGTGTCAATTGATTGTAAAATGTTGTGTTTGATTGGTTTGAATAAACTTGAACTTGAACTTGAACTTGAACATCTACACGGGACTACGTCTTAAAGATGCCACCCTCATATTATGAAAAGTACAATATAGATGGGTTTAAACTGGAATATTTACATGATATTTATTTATTATTTGTATTATATGTTTGTAGAATACCACATTCAATAAAGCTAATGAAGTTTATTATCTTGTCAACGTAGAAATAATTAAAGATAACTAATCCTCAATGAATAACATTAAAATTCTAACAATGTAAACTACCATCTTATAAGATGAAACTGAGGACTGGGCAGAAAGATTCTCCTTGAAATTTGAGTGATAAAGATCTATCAGTCCATATCAAAGATTGAATTAATTAATGATATTTTAATTATAATTATACTTGTTGAAATTCATTTACCTCTATGGACGGGGGGGGGGGCGGCTTGCTATCCTCTTCCTGGTGCTATTATTACATGGCCCATGTAACGGGTTGCAATAGTGTACACATATGATTATATGTTTATATTAGAAGGACTTAAAAGTGAAAAGTTTTGAATTATAGCATTAGTGTTGGTGGAAGTAACGGCAGTGTTGATTGTTAATGGGAGGGGGGGGGGGGGTTTGTTTCCCCAGTGAAATTAACGGTTTACCAATGTAAAGTTAATTTAAAAAAGAGAAAACTATTCTTAAAAATAAAAATTATACAGGACATGGCCTCCTAACAAAAACCCTGGTACCACTTTGGTGGTGGTGTTGTGTGTTTGTTTGTTTGTTGTTGTTTTTTTTTTTTTGGGGGGGGGGGGGCAAACCAATTAAAAATTTCTAGTGTTAAATTCAATTGTCTTTTAAAAAAAATTATGTCAAATATTGAAATTAAACAAGAAACTTGAATAAAATGCTAACCCTAAATTAAAAATGTTCTACTTCTAGCAAAGATTCTGCAAAGGCTGCAAAGGTAGAGTGAAGAGAATCAATTGAAATGTGGACAGTAATGGAGTGAATATGGAATGGTTGATCGTAGTTGATAACGAGGGAATGCAAATGAGTGGTAACAAGTACGACTGAAAGTGAGACAGAAAGGAATTGCAAGAGGTTGTTCAGTCAATGGAACAAACCTTGCAGAAGATAATTTTCGGAGAGAAATAGAGAAAAGGGAATCATTAAAAAAGGAAAAGGGGCACCTATCAGTAGGAAAAGGGTACTTACAAGAAAGGAAAAGGAGGCATGTGTCATAAGGACATTGATGAGAAAGGAAAGGGCTCTTATTAAAAAGGTAAAAGGGCACATATCAAAAGGTAAAAGGGCACTTATTAAAATTATAAGGGGACCGCGTGACAAAGTAAAGAATAAAAAAGCCTTTTATCAGATATCACAAGAGGCACTTATGAAAAGGGAACAGTGGCACTTATAAAAGGTAAAGGGGCATCTGTCAGATTTGAATAGGGAGTAATTAACGCAGGTGGTAAGGGGCGTTTAATAAGTAGGCCTATGTGAAAGAATGTGTTTTTATCTCGAGTTTGTCTCATCATGCGTGGGATCTGTGGGTGCTGGGGTTCCTGAAGCAACCCTATACATGGATTTTCTTCAGTGGGTGCATATAACCCATGGACATTTTTGTAAACCTTCAAATGATAATTATCATCGAGCCCCCCCCCCCCTCATTTTTTTTTTGTCAGCTCGTGACAAACATATAATCCAGATGAAATAATTTCTTCACAGCATATCAGTGGCGGATCCAGGGGGGGGGGCGAAACGGCCGCGGCCCCCCCCCCCCCCCCCTATTGGCGGCGCAAAAAAAAGGAAGAAAAAAAAGAGGAAGAAAAGAAGAGAAAAAAAGAAAGCAGAAGAGGAGAAAAAAAAGGAGAAGAGAAAAGAAAGGAGGAGAGAAAGGAAAAAAGGAGAGAAAAGAGAGAGAAGAGAAAAGAGAAGAGAAAAGATAACGAAATTATTGAATAGAGGGGGGGGGGGGCCGGGCCGGCCGCATAAAATTTCGAGCTGCGGATTCAAAGTTAACGTCAAGAACAGCCCCTGCGCTACAAAGGTCATCACTCTGAAGTGAGAAATTTGAAAGGGCACAATATTTTGGGTGTCTTTTAAATAGAAGTTATATACTCAACAGTCAAATTCTAAATTAACGGTAGGCCGCTTCACAACTCTTATTTTGCCCTTCATTTGGATTCAGCTCATACCAACTCGCTTGTGCTTGTATTTGAACTCATATTGGTAGTAATCATGGACAGGGGCGGCAATCCTGGGCCCGATAGGGGGACACGTCCCCCAGGAAATTTAGAAATATAGCTAGAAAGAAATATAGCGAAAAGAACGTACATATTGGGCTCAGGGATTTTCTAGAATGCATAATTTCAGCATTCAACATTGAAAAATCTCGCTTGGTCGCTACGCCCCGGCCGGCCGCGGCCATCGCCCGATAACACAAAACTATGACGCTCCCGGCCGTGATTTATCCATGCATGGTTGGTGTAATAGATCTTTTTTCCATTTCATTTCTACTAACCTAATTGTGTGCCATCACAATCATGATTGTTTCATTTTCCCTTTAAAGCAGGCGCGTAGCCAAAGGCGGTAGGGGCAGTAAGATGACATAGGACGAAAAGGAGCAGACAAAGAAACATTTTTGAAAATTCTGACACGTCGAGAACGGTACAACGAATCGTCTTCTTTCTCTAATAATTTATTGAAATGTCAAAGCTTCCGCGCTTGCGGGGGGGAGGGGGGGGGAAGCTCATTTCAGATTTCAGACAAGGATAAAGGTCGACGGTACAACGAATCATCTTCTTTCTCTAATAATTTCATTAAACTATGAAAGGCCAAAGCTTCCGTGCTTCGCGCGGGAGGGCGGGGGGGGGGGGGGTGGCTGAATACAGTCAAGTTATAAGAGTCGAGAATGGTACAACAAATCTTCTTTCTCTAATAATTATGAAAGGTCAAGCTTCCGCGCTTTGCGCAGGCGGGAGGAACCTGAATTCAGACAAGGATTAAGAGTCGAGAATGGTACAACGAATCATCTTTCTCTAATAATTTCAATTTAAACTATAAAAAGTCAAAGCTTCCGCGCTTTGCGCGGGAGGGGAAACTGAATTCAGACAAGGAATACGAGTCGAGAATGGTACAACAAATCGTCTTCTTTCTCTAATAATTTAATGAAACGTCAAAGCTTCTGCGCTTCGCGCGGGAGGGGGAAAACTGAATTCAGACAAGGATTAAGTGTCTAGAACGGTACAACGAATAGTCTTCTTTCTCTAATAATTTAATAAAACGTCAAAGCTTTCTTCGCGCGGGAGGGGGAAAACTGAATTCAGACAGGGAATAGGAGTCGAGAACGGTAAAACAAATCGTCTTCTTTCTCTAATAATGAAGAAAAGGTCAAAGCTTCCGCGCTTCGCGCGTAATTGGGAGGGGGTGGCAGCGAGCTGCCCGAATATGAGTTGTTTTATATCTTTTCTCGTTTATTTTGGTGATAAATAACACTTTCACAATATTATGGTCAAATTGTTGCTCGCTCACTAGCCGAATTGTGAAACCAGAAAATTACTTTTTCGGGCAAGAGGCTGTAGTCCCCCCCCCCCCCCCCCCCCCCCGATGAAAATGTCCAAAATTGTACCGGTATGGTGCTTCTAATATGACCTTGAAAAAACGGTCTGCGCAATTTTGGAATTTCCGCCCCCCCCCCCCCCCCCCCCCCCTATTGGAAAATCCTGGATCCGCGCCTGGCATATGAATAGGGAAACAAAAATGTGAAAAAGAAACCAAAGATAAACTTTAAGAAAAAAAATAGAGAGAAAGGAAAGAAATAGGCCTATTATCTTGCTCCTTTTCATTTCAATTTTCTTGCAATTTATTTATTTCTATAAATCTTCAGCCTTCTCCACTTGCATCTCTCTCTCTCTCTCTCTCTCTCATTATGGGATAAAAAATAGCATATGAACCTACTCATGTAAGGCATAATTTTTCCTATCGGTCTGTATTAATTTGAAATTATGCGAGCCAAATATTGGTACGTAATGGTGACCAGCAGTGACGTAATAGGGGGTAGTGCAGGGAGGGGCGAGTTT